ATTGTATTGGTATTAATATCGCTCCGTAGCTAAGTTGAGAGGATAGTTATTGTATTGGTATTGATATCGCTCCGTAGCTAAGTTGAGAGGATAGTGATTGTATTGGTATTAATATCGCTCCGTAGCTAAGTTGAGAGGGTAGTTATTGTACTAGTTATTGGTATCGCTCTGTAGTTATTACGTCAGTCAATGAAGTAGTAGGGTTGTACGAGTTGTATCTTTCTGGCGGTTTGGATAATATCGTAACATAGTGCTTTTTGTCAACAAATCTTTTTTGTTATTTTGATAAATGTTATTTAGGGCCTCCTCCGATAACGGTTATGTTAGTTGCTGGTCTGTATGATTTACTGCGTTAGAAAAAAAGAGGAATTTACAAATAAAAGGCTCCATTCTGGGTGCGTGCTTTTGCTGTTAAGGTGTTAGTTTTATTCATCACTGATCAGACTTTACCTTGTCTAATTTTTGCCCTTTGTATTTACTTTTAGTAGGCACACCCAGCCTGTATCTGTTGAGTTTTTAGTAAGCAATCTTTAGTCTTCGTGTTGCCAAAGCCCTTTTTTGCGCCATTTACCACTACAAAAGTATATAATAATATGCCAATTTAATTCAAAGGGATGGCTTTTATTTTTAACCGGACGTTTCCGTCAGTAAACTGGGCAAAAGTCAATTTTGACGCTGAGGAATCTTAGGGGGAATGCCATGGTATCTGGGTTTCGGTCTAAATCATGATGGACGATGTGCGAGGCGATTCTCTCTTAATATAGAGATTACTTCACGTATTTCATGATCCGTTTGCACTCCCCCCCTCTCCCTCACCTTAAGGAAGTCCAACTCGATCACATTGTTCGCGATGGACGCCAGGCAAATTCTACTGTAAATTTTGCTTTGCAGGAATAGCGGCACAATTAAAAAATTTAAATTTAAAAAATAATTTAAAAAATTTTAAAAAGTAATAGAAAAATTGTTTAAATTTTTAAGTCTTTTTAAAATCAAACAATTAAAACATTTAAATTTAAAGAACTAAAAAACAAAAAATCAAAAAATTAAAAAGCTAAATGATTAAAAAAACTTAGAAGAGAAAGTAAGGACTTAGTCTTACCAATGAAATACACATTGTTACTTTGTATGAATGCTATTTGTTCGACTTTGTGTTTGGCAAATTGCAAGGCTTCAAATGTTCTTGCCTTGCTGAGGTACAGTTAGGTTATTTATACATGCAAGATCTTTGGCTGGGACAAGCTTCACACACGTTCTTTGACATCTGTTTTTCAGTTTAATTTTCTCAACAGATATTTACAACATTAGTAAAATATGAAACAATTTGGCCTTTGGTTTTTATACTCTTAGCAAGGATCTTGTTATTTCAGGCCGTTACCAGAGCTGAGGTCAGAATAGCAGTTCTGATGGCTGAGAATAATATTCCTCTGGCATTTTCTAACCACCTAAGTCGAATGCTCCCAAAACTATTTCCAGACTCAAAGATAGAACACTTTAAGTATTCCGCTGCGGCTGCACTGAAGACCACATGTATGATTAATGGAACGATAGCACCACATTTCTTAAGGGAGACAGAGAATATCATGAAGTGTAGTCCATTCTCCATGTTGACCGACGGCTCAAACGATACTGGTTTGGAAAAAATGAATCCTTTGACTGTAAAGATTTTTGATGCGAACACTGGTAGAGTGGAGAGTCGGTTTTTGGACATCTGTGCAACCAAGGGAACTGACTCAGCAACGGAAGCATCAATTTTCCAGAAAATCGATGATGTGTTATCACTTCATGGCATTTCATGGAGCAAATGTGTAGGATTCGATGTGGACAATACTAATGTCAACCTTGGTAGCAGAAATTCAAACATGACAAGAGTAAAACAGAGAAGTCAGTCCTGCTACTTCATGGGTTGCCTCTGTCACTTAATACACAATATTGCCTGCAAAGCTTCTGAGGCATTTTGTGATACCTCCAAGTTTAGCCTGGAAGAGATGTGTGTTGACGCTAACTATTATTTTGACAAGAGCTGTTCTGAAAAGGATGATGAAACTGCTTCCTTTAAAACTGTGGGAGAATATTTATAGAGCATTCATTGCTCCTCATTTCAATTATTGTGCTGAGTCTTGGCATTTTTGTGGTAATCGCTTAACGAAAAAACTCGAAAAACTAAACGAGCGGGTGCTCTGCATCGTTTATCAGGATGAAAGTTTTTCTTATGAGACATTAGTTGCTAAGAATGGATATAACACATTAGCTAACCAAAGACTTGCAAAAATGTTAAGTACAGTGTTTCGAGCAATTAGGAATGGAAACGTACCTGCAAGTATTTCCGAGTTATTGACTACACGCAATTCTAATTATAATTTACGTGGTGATGCTATTTTAAAATTACCTAAAGTTAATTCAACAACTGTATGGGATTAAGTCGTGGAAATATCAAGCTGCCCGACTATGGAGCACTTTTCCTGATAATTTGAGAAATATGGATACCTATCGCAGTTTTAAACGTGAACTCGAGGAGCTCGACCTTACAGGTTTATAGCTCCCTATTTTTTTGTACTTAACTCAGCTTTCTTAGTATATCAGCATTATAGTTTTATAATTGTAGTTTGTATATACTATATCATTTTAAACACTTTAAAGGCAAAGCAATCCCTTATCGCAATTTATTCTTGTTTTCAGTATAAGTTAATAGTTCTATAAATTTAGGCAGTTTCCATAATACTTAATAATTTTAAACACTTTTACATAGCTTCTAAGTTTATTTATTTATCCTTTCTTTTCGTGACTGACCAGTAAAGTAGCTTTATATAGCTAAGTGTTAGCCACGTTAAATAAAGTATGTAGTAAGTAGAGCACTAAGCGAAAATCACTTTTGGTAGAATTTGCTGATTTTCTAAATGTTGAATACCGTCAAGTCATCAAAAATGTGAGCACACGTTGGTTAAGCTTGGAAACAGCTGTGAGACGGAACTTGGATATGTACCCAGCCTTGAAGAGCTATTTTCTGTCCAATACAGAGAGTAATCCTAGAATCAAGCGCCTAAAACAACAGTTTGCAGACCCCATGGTAGAACTTTATCATTTGTTTTTTCAGGCAGTGTTGCCAACGTTCACCTTTCCAAACAAGTTTCTGCAGAGGGAGGATCCCTGCATTTATGCTGCCCATGGACAGTTGAATGAATTTGTTCGACTCCTTCTGGGCAAGTTTGTTCAGATTGAGAAGATTAAGACTGCAAAAACTGTTGACAAAGTAAATTTTGAAGGAGAAAGTCAACAACTGTAAGACGGCCAGCTATTTATTGGCTTAGCAACCAGACAACTGCTTTACAAACTCGCCGATGAGGGTTACATAGATGAAAGAAAGAGAGATCAGTTTTACCAAGCAGTGCGTCACTTTTATCAACGAGCTGCAATAGAAGCTATCTCAAAGCTTCCTTTCCAAGCTGATACACTGATCCGTGCTAGATTTGTGGACTTTTTTCAGAGAGAGAATGCCTCTGTTGAGGATGTAGAATTCTTTCTGATGAATTATCCCACAGTTCTGCCAACTACTGCGAGGGAAAACCACTTGCTTCAAGAAGAGTTTGTGGAGTATCAGCTTCTGAGAAATGAAGACAGTTCCCAAGAAAGTCTGGGATGAAGCCCAAATAAAGCTTTGAAATGAGGAAAACGAAGAAAAATCATCATCCAGTTTTCGCATGGATGTGATCTGGGGATAGCTATCATCATTGCAGCTAGGAAATGGAAGTAAGCCATAAATTTGGTAGGATAAGTGACGTAGCCAAAACAGTTCTTATGCTACCACATTACAATACAGGCGAAGAAAGAGTTTTTTCTCTTATAAGAAAAAACAAACCAGCTTTTCGGCCTTCTCTTCAGGTTCACGGTACACTAGCCTCTCTGCTTACAATCAAAATGGCCAACAAAGAGTCATCATTTAAACCACCTGCAGATCTGTTAAGCAGTGCCAAGAAAGCTACCTGGAACTATAACAAAGAGCATCTGACTCGGGGATCAGAGTGACAGCATGTAGAACAATCAGTATGTTATGTTAATTAAATTTGACTAGATAAGACAGAATGAGAAATGTTAAGAGAGTTCAGTTGATATTGATCTGATTCAGTGATCACACTGACAGCATGTAGAGCGAACGTTGTAACATATTAATTTGACTTCTGCATACATGTACTGTAAGTCAGAATGTTAAGAACGAGTTGATATTGGTCCAATTAAAAGAATATTCTGGGAACTAAATACTTACTTTTAAAGCATGACATTTCTGCTCAGAATGAAGGAAAACACGTTTTAAATACTTAAATTTTTTTAAAATTTCCTGGGGGAGCATGCCCGCAGACCCCCCTAGCAGGGTGACGCCTACGGCGTCATAAACAACGGCTGCGCCGTTGTAGATCTCACTCTTTGCCCACAAAATCAACTTGAGAGCTCTGTGGTTCCGGTGAGAACTGCGCAAAAACTGCTAATACTTATACAAATCCTTATATTATGCATGACAAATAGCTTTACACGTGACCATCTAGAAACTAAATCGATTCTCTCCCTATGCATATATAAAGTATAGTAATTAAAAAGCGAACCTTAGGATGACTGTGTTTCCAGGCCATATACTCCTCTTTCAGCCTTTTCACTGGATCGACATGTTGAGCTGAATGCAGCCTCACAGCCGCCATTTTGAAATGAGCGCGCTTGAAACCACTATTGGTCAGTGGTATTACGCATAAGAACTGTAAAACAATAATGGCGACGGGTTCTTTGTCGTTTTGCACCAGAAGTCTGTTCCTTCTCAGAAATTGCGATACTTTTGTACTCAAGGTGATTCACACACTGTTCATGTTCTTGTGATGTTGAAAGAATGTCTCAGCTTTCTTGCACCCTGTGATGGACAAGTAAGTCGTCTTTCGCCAGCAGGCAGTGCCTGCGGCAATGCGTTTTGTGTATGCGAGCGCATGCTGCCTCGTGTTATGTTGTTGATCGCCATCTTTGAGCGATATCAAAAGCTCTGTGAGTTGAAGTTTATCTCGTTGTGGCGTTCTCGTCTCCTTATCACCGGCGTTTATTCTTTTTTAAGCTACGGGGGTTTCGAGTTTCGATTTTCCTTGAAATCACATCAATTCTGTTGCCCTCGGGTTTGGATAGGGTTTCTCGTAATTTTTAATGATGTATCTTTTGATGCTCTTTCGCTGTCTTTGGCTTCAAAATTTAGCCCCTACAAGGTTACCTTACCTCGCAGATATAAAGCAATTTCTGCAGAATTTGCAATTTTATATATTAAGAAAATTCGTAGTTATTGTTTACGTCATCTTATTAAGATCTAGATTTAACTTTGCTATTATATACTTAATCCAATATTTTATTGAAGTAAACTTTTACACCACGACAACGGTATTTGAGTTTGTACAAGTAGATATGTATAAGATGCCGCAACCGTACGATCGACTGATTAGCCCTTAGCTTATTTAGATGTTTTTCCTGGTTGTTAGATGTGTCTTTCAAACAAAATTTTTTCCTTTGTAAAGGGATTCTGCACTTTAATGACTTTCTTTATATGTCTCTGTCTTGCATTATTTTATTGCTGCAATTTGTAATGGTTGACAAATGCCATGCCTTGATCACCTTTTGGGATTAAAGGAAAGAAACAAATTTTTATCTCGGTAAAAGAAACGACACAAAAATTTTATTCTTTCAAAACAACAGTACCAAGTAAAAAACTTTGATATTCAGACAGGTTTAGTTAGGACCCCACTTAACTGTGTCTTCTATCATTAGCTCTCTCCTATTTCTGTACAAGTTGGCCACTTAAAGGCAAGCCAGACAATAAAGGGCACAAAAAATTTAATGACACCCTACCTTGTGGGTGGGATGGGTGGGTTGTTGTCTTGCGTTTCATACATGAGCCTCTGGCTCGGGCAATATGGGTAACCATGCCCCACGTAAAGACACTAAAATTTGATTGCTATTACTATTAAGATCTTGAGTGTTGGTCCGGCCGGGGCTTGAACCCTCGACCTCCCGCACTACAGTCCAGCGCTTAACCAAAGAAGGAGTCTGTAAAAGGAATCCTTCTTGATGTTGGTGCCTCGAGTATACGATTCGACAATCCAGATAGAGGATTTTTATTTTACAAAGATGGTCCTCTAGATACAAGAGGTTGCTTTCATATACTGTGATAAATTCTAGAGCAGGATGCTCTACTCTTGCACAGCTTCCTTCCTCACCCAGAGCATTAACACTTTACACCCTATCATCAGTATGCATATTCTCCATACTGTTCTCTATGCATTTCCTAACGTGCCGACAAGGAGAATTTGTTTCACAATCATCATCTCCTTTTTTTCTGATGACAGCAGCTGATGTGGTGAATTCTATCAACGAGACAGAACTTACAGCTGTATTGAGACAGTATGGACAAGAAAAGGAAGCTGGTTAGTGGCAACAACTTCCTAATAATAATTATGGGTACTACTCCATTAGGTACTAGAAAATAGGAGACTCTAACAAATACTGCAGCAATACAAAATTGTCGATTCTGCTACGCTGATTTCACTTTGACATATTTGACTAAAATTCCTCAAAATCATCAAATCATGAACATTCACTTGCATCCTTGAATGAACCGTTTTCATTCAAGTGCATCCAGGAGTGGTTCATGTAGCAATACTCCTCAACACTTTACGTTATGGAGGTTGGGATAACCTCTGGATAAGAGGGCTCGTTTGTTTGATTGCTGAGTATCTTACCTTACAATTTATAATTATAATAATTTAATTTTTATATTGTGTAAATTAACAATTGGATATGATCAAAAGTGCATCGCAACACTTTTCACGGGACTTTGGCTTGACTGCATCAGCAGTTTACAATCAATCGAAGGAAACTTATTTGAAGATGCCCCCAACACCCCCTCCCCAATTCCTAGTAAATAGGCCAGAATACATTACAACAATCTCATGAATGGCTTCTTTAACGTCCTCTGCCTAACCAAATTAACTAAACTAATAGATGCAGGAGACTAGACCTAGGGTTTATTTGTCCTTTTCCAAAAAGACTAAAATGTCTATCCATTCCTTGATATCATAAAGAGGTAGCGAATTCTCCTCAGTTATTTTAAGACCTTGAATGTTGGTCCAGCCAGGGCACGAACCCTTTACCTGCCGCACACAACCCGGCGCTCTAACCAATTGAGCTAACCGGGAGGCGGTTAGCTTGAGTGTAATGTGGCCTGTGGGATGGCACACTTCTCTGCATGTGAGGCTTTCTCGAATTAGATCCTTGGGCAGAGACTTTCATATACTGTGATAAATTCTAGAGCAGGATGCTCTACTCTTGCACAGCTTCCTTCCTCACCCAGAGCATTAACACTTTACACCCTATCATCAGTATGCATATTCTCCATACTGTTCTCTATGCATTTCCTAACGTGCCGACAAGGAGAATTTGTTTCACAATCATCATCTCCTTTTTTCTCGCGGCTGTAAGGTTTGATTCAGGGGTAACATGACAGAGCTGACTAATGAAATGCTACGTGAGAGGATATGCGGACAACAACGCGAGCTCAAGTGTCCTAGGTCTAAAATTTAGCGGAAAATAACTTGAGGGCTGACTTTTAAAATCGAGGAACTCTGTTTTCGTCGAAGGCATTTTCCTATTTCCAGAGGTTTTAAGGACTGGAGAAAATTAATTTTTGAAAATTTTTTGGGGGGTGTACCAAGTTATAAGGAGATTTTCTTTAAAAAAAAAAAAAGCGGCAAGGAAAACGACGCTTCGAAGCCACAGAATAGGAAATCAACCATGCGAACGACTCAAAATCCGTGTTTCCGCGGCAAAACCTAGCGGATGAGTATATGTTATTCAGCTCTGTCGGGTAATATTTTAAGGAGAAATAAGATACTAGTCAGCGGTCTAAGGGTTAAAAGGTTCATGGGTTAAAAGTAAACTTTCAGGAAAGCCAATCCTGGTTACAGAGGGAAGGGTGAACTGAGCTGGTTTCGCACCCCTAACCAGGTAGAGAAGCATTGATTTTTGTGGGTTTATATCACAGAAACTGGAATGAGTTCCAGCACTGTGGACCAGTCTACCGTAGTGATGTTCGTATAATTTATGTTTTCAGTTCGCATTTCAAGAGCAATCGCCAAAGCCCGGTCAAAGATGCCGTCACTTTTCACAAGACAGTTAGCAGCCATTGTGACTGCTGCTGTGCGTCACAGCCGATCGGACAGATTTGCCCGACCCATCCACCCAGCAACGAGAACGTTTCCAGCTTTGCGCATACTCGTAAACGATGAGCTAAATGAACTTCAGTGCGTCCTAAAAGCAGCGCATAAACTTCTTCGTCCCCGTGGGCGGCTGGTGGTCATTTCATTTCATGCTTTAGAAGACTCCCTTGTAAGACGTTTCTTTAAAGATGCGAATTCTGAAGTCAGTTACATGCGATCCAGGACAAACGTGGCGGGCAAAGCGAAAAAAAGCGCTGGTTACCGCCTCACAAGAAAGTTATTTACCCCACCGGAGAGGAAGTTTATCTCAATCCTCGATCACGATCAGCTAAATTACGAGCGGCAGTAAAAGTGGATAATTTAGTTATGGACTTAACTGAATTCACCAGCTGGTTAGACTAGAATTCGAGAGAACCGTTTTACAACAGTTCAACGCCAATCTGAACATCTTTAGAACATTAAAAATGGGAAACAGTTACTTTTATTAATGCCCTTATTATCTTAAAGTGTCCCTTTTTTGTACGCAACCGTGGCTGTTTTAATGGATCAGGCTATATTTATTTGGGGTATAAAGTAACACAAATCAACTTTTTGGTAATTTTATATCGAGGGGGAAATGAAATGGAAATTTTTGCGGATTATATTGTTGACTGTCAACGGTGGGAATGTTTAAGGAAGCGAGAGGAAACAAATTAAGGGGGCTTGAAAGGGTTTTCCACAATTAACAGTAAGTGCCAATCAGTAAAAGATATCATGACTGTCAAACTTATCATCGGGATAATGACTTGACATATGCTTAACACTATGTTAGGGCAATCTTTTAAGGTGGCTCGTCAGGCATCATCTGTTGTCATGGCAACAGTACAGTAGTGCTAAAAGACCTTTTAAAACTCAGTTTTTGAAAGATATCTCAAAAACCAAGTCGGTGACCTAGTTTTTTTTTTCAAATTTATTTAACATCATCACATTCTCTATCTGTATACGTGATATAAAAAAAAA